TTCCCATGCCAGGATAAAATCGAGAGCATTAAGCTTTTAGACTCACGCACTTGCTGAATTTGAGTGAATGAATATGCACTGTACATCAAAAGTTTGGGAACACATAAGTTTAATCATTAGTAAGTTTCATTACTCCATTGGTATTAATTAACTCCTACTAACTAGGATGCTGAAACTATTTAACCCGTTAATTTATGGTATTCAATTTTTTAGAGATGGAATTACCTAAAATTTTAAATCTGCTAGCCCAAAGATTACCATTAACCAGCAAGATAGATTAGGCAAAAAGAGCTAATTATTTTAGAAATCTTTATGCAGTAATGGATTAATTTCGTTGTTATTATTATTATTATTATTATTGAATATATGATAAAGTCCTTCAGGAAGAGAGAGTCACTCTGGCCAGAAGTGAGCTAGAAAATTAGTTTTGAAAAAGGCACCCAACCTTTTGGCCTACAGCGAACTTGTTCGTCATTATGTTACATTCGTTATTATTATTATTATTATTATTGGCACAATCTATACGAGGGGGTGCCGATAAGTTATCGCTCGGAGTAACTTCCCAAAATCTGATCGTAACAACAGAATTATTAGCAAGAGAGCCTTTTCTTAGTGTGGGTCGAGAAAATTTCAACACCCCACATAAATTCATTAATCTCTCTCTCTCTCTCTCTCTCTCTCTCTGTATGTATGTATATATATATATATATATATATATATATATATATATATATATATATATATATATATATATATATCAGATCATTGCAAAAGTTCGTGCTCGATTTTTATTGTTAACATAAAATGACCGCAACTTGACACTGGCGTTTGTTTTGGTGTCGATTAATTTATGGTGTGTTCTAGATTGAAACCTTGCATTGTTCATTTGCGAGTCAGGCTTTGTTGAATGTTGACGTTTTCTCCACAAATCAATGCCTTAAAGATGGAGGATGAAAATTTGCACTTCTGCCATATTATGCTCTATGAAATTCGGAAAGGAGTAAGTGTCGAAACTATGACAAAAATTTAAAAAAAAACATTCAAAAGCTTTACTTGGATCGTGCGTCAGCTCTTCGGGCGGTCAAAATTAGTTTAACAAATTTCGTCATATTGAAAATAACAACGTTCTATCTTTTTGTTTGTTTTCTCTCTGACAAAGCCTTAATAAAAGTGAAACATGTTAGATTGATAAACGTTTCCTATTTGTTCGTGGCTTATCATACTATCTGTGAAACTAATCTTAACTTTTCAATCCCCTCCTCTGATTTCTCGATTCCTGGCTACCTTCCTATCCTTAGAAAGGATTCTAATGTCCACATGCATGACTTGGGAGTTTATTTCCGTGAACATCTCCCGCTGGAACTTTCTCTGAATCTCCATTTCATTCTTACATATGTCTCCATCTCTCTCTACTTAATTCAGTCAGTTATTTCTTCTTTCTCTACCATTTCCCTTCCTCTCAAGGCTGTTGGGTGCTAGATAGTATTTTCGATAATATAGATAAGGCCATCACCCAACACAAGTTTGCAAATGTACTTGTGTTCAGAGACTTTATTGCCCACCATACCAGGTGGTTTAAACACTCTATCACTGACCTCGCTGGTATCCAAACCCTTAACTTCTCAATCTCTCACGCAAGTGGTTGACTTTCCCACACGTTTTCCCAGTAAACCTGATGGACACGCTTCTCTTCTCGATCTCTTTTTTTACTCTATCCCTGACTCTTGTCGTACTACGCAGCTTTGCCCTCTTGGCAACTCTGATCATGTGGTAGCGTCTGTAAACATCTCTTTCCGCTGCACAACCAGCCAAGAACCTCCTACCAACAGAATATCTTTCTGTTATCAACGAGCAGATTGAGACTCGTTCCGTGATTTCCTTCGTAACGTCCCATGGAAAAAAAAATTTTTAATCATATTTTCACCCTCCTGGGTGAAAGCCAGTGTGGATGCTTTTATTCCAGCAAGGAAATACGAAGCTAAAAACTTTGTTCTCACCAGCATGCTCGGCCGCTGTAGCCCACAGGAATCACTTCTTCCGGCTGTACCAGACAGACAGGTCTGATTGCTACAGACGTCTCTTTGTGTTTACTCGTAACGAGTGCAAGGAGTCCTAAAAGAAGCGAAGTTGCTATTTGCTGATAGAATGAAACGTATAGCGCCTCGCAAATTCGGTTCTAGAGATTATTGTTCCCCAATAATTATTGTTCAGTCTTCTACTGAGTAATATGCGCATTACTTCGTCACTTGTCTCAGACATCCTTTCTAAATTAGACTCCCAAAAAGCAAGCGGATGTAACGGAATCCCGGCCATTGTCCTAAAGAAATCTACTCCCGAACTCACCCCAGTTCTCTCCAAACTCTACAACTATTGGCTCCTGATTTCCAGATTGGTGGAAGTTTTCTTCTGTAGTCCTTGTTTTTAAGAACACTGGAGAACCTTCTGGTCCCTCTAACTATCACCCTATTAGTCTCCTACCGCTTTTCGATAAAGTATCCAAGGCTTTAATCAATGCTGAAGTGGTTAAGCATCATACTTCTCACGACCTACTCTCAGACAAACAATATGGATTCCGTTTTGCCAGGCCTACCGCTGATGTGCTAATAGCCATCAATGAATATGTATATCAAGCTCTTGACAATAACAGCGAGCTGTGGCTCTCGATATCTCGAAGGCGTTTGAAAAGGTTTGATACACTGGTCTTCTACGTAAGTTCCAGGGCTACGATATTACTGGACGATTGTTTGATTTAATCCAATCATTCCTATCAAATCGTGAAATGAATGTCGTTTTGGAAAGGCTCACTTCCAGATCCATTCACAGGAACGCGGGTGTCTCCCAAAGCTTTATCCTGGATCCTAAGCTGTTTCTGATCTTCATCAATGATCTTCTTGATGTCATTAATTCCCAAGTTGACATTTATACTGATGACATTATCATTTACTTCTGTCTCAATAGCAAATATGAAAGAAATTTGACAAACGGTAAACATTTCATTGAAAATAGATTTGATGACTCGTTTCGCCATTCTAGGCTTCATCAAAACCAAAAACGGAAGAAAGTAATGTGTTTGTGTGTATGCTTAAATAATGAATCGTTAATACTTTTCCTCTAAACTGGCGTTTCTCGTGATTAAAGAAGAAAGAAAATGAGTGACTTTTAAAAAATAGCTGTGAATATTTATCCTATATCTTTTCTTTAAGATTCTTAGTTCATGTCGAAAGTTGTTAATACATTTTTCCCAGCTTTTTTTTGTATCGATTTAAAGGTAAATGCTCATCTCATTTTCAGAATTTGCTCAAAAGCAAGAACTTCATATGGCCTCTTTTGAAATGAATCCAAAGTAAATCCTCATCCAATTCTTTAGAATGGGTTGAAAGTAAAAGATTTATATCCATTATTTAAACATACACACAAATACACATACACAGATTTCTTTCTTCCGTTTCTTTGGATCTGATGAAGCCTAGAATGGCGAAACGCGTAATCAAATCTATTTTCAATGAAATGTTTTCCATTTCTTATATTTCTTAAAAATCGTCAGGATTCTATATCCTTTTTAAATACATACATGCATATATATATATATATATATATATATATATATATATATATATATATATATGATAGAATATAATTTTACGGTATGCTACATTTATGAGTAAAATGCTCAATATTCAGGATAGAATGTGTGGATATTAGCGACAATTCTCTCTCTCTCTCTCTCTCTCTCTCTCTCTCTCTCTCTCTCTCTCTCTCTCTACCACAAAATTTTCTTTTCTTTCCTTTTTGCTTGTCTTTCTTTTTTAAATAAATTTATTTCCTGTGTTTAGTGCATTTAAACCAGTCTGAAGATGCAGTGTAGACCAACCGCTGAAAATAAATTTAAGTTTATAACTGTAAAATTCAAATTTAAGTTTTTCTTTGAAATTTTTCTTAATTATATTGATATTGCCCTATATGATTTGTTATTATTCTCATACATTGAAATCTCTACTAGGAGTTTTACCTGGATATTCATTTAATAACTCCTCGGGATTATCCACATAACCAAAGGATTATATATATATATATATATATATATATATATATATATATATATATATATATATATATATACGCATAGAATATACACACAATTATGTGCCTCCTCACTAAAGTAGGACGCCTAGGAAGTACTTGACTATATAGGTATTGATAAAAATTGACATCTAAAGCCATATACAGCGATGATAAAACATACTACGGTAATAATGGTCTACTAACTTAAATTAGCACAAACGAACCCGTTGGTTGACAGAGAGAAGCGGATGTCATATAATAATGGCTTGACATTGTTGGGAATCTGAGAACCGTACTACAGATTGACCCAAACCTTGTAATGGAATTTGGGTCGACTGTTAGGGATCCGTCGATGGTTGTGCTCGCACAATGTCACAAGTCAGCGTGACTGAGGGCTTGCGCGTATAGTCTTTGTTCAGTTACTGATCATGCTCTAATTATGCGCTCTCTCTCTCTCTCTCTCTCTCTCTCTCTCTCTCTATCTATCTATTCATCTATCTATCTATCTATCTCAGAAACTTTTGAGCATAGCTGCAGTATAAACCACAAATTGACACTGTGTGTGTTGAAGGAGGTTCTGTGGAGTAATGGATAACGGCTCGGATTGAGGAATCAGAGAGCCGAGTTCGAATACAAGTCGTATGAAAAGTAAGGTATGAATCCTCTTCTTCTCTCCCCAGCTATGGGTAAACAGAAGGACAGACCGGGTTCTATAGCTTTGGATGGCAACTGGTCTACAGTAGAAATGGTAACCTACTACGGGAAATAATCTGCCTCGTCAGTCATGTATCGAAAGATGTAATCACGCATGATACATAACTGACTCTGTTGAAGAAACATAAATGTGTCTATGCTGGTGTCTGCAACGATGATTGCCAGTCTAACAGGAAACGGGAAGCTGGCTATTACAGACTGAAACTTTTCAAAAGCGTACTTACCTGTCATGATTGGAATGTTCCAATATGCTGCAAGGGATCCAACGGGTTCCAAAGCATACGAACAGGCTGGACCCAGGAGCGCCATAATATTCTGTCGATAGAACATATCAGCCGCCATTCCTTTTGAAAATAAAGAAGTAAAATCGTTATTTATTCTTTGAAAATTTTTAATTTTTGTTTGACATTCAATGAATAACGGTTATAAGTATGGAAAATGAAATCGGCGTGCCGAGTTCAAATAGCAAGGCAGATTTAGCTCTCTAACCTTGTTTGGTGACATAAGAGAAAACAATTGTAACTTACAAATACGTGGAGAATGTAACAAGAATCCACTACACTATCTTTTCCCAAAAAACTATCAAGATAATACATAGTTTACAAATATTAAAGAAAGAGAAGCTGTCAAGACCCATAATTGCCGAGATCCTAAATATACAAGATACTTAAAGAGAGAACCGCAACACCTTTAAAATAATTGGAATAAAATTAAAAAGTACCTGTTTACAAACCCCTCTTCCTACTTACAGACGTTCAAAATATTAGGGCCAACTACATAAAATGATTACATAATTTTATTTAATTACTAACTTAAAAGCCACCCTATCGAGCGGCATTTAAGCTAGCTCTTGCGGGGCGCTCTTGAATAGGCCTTCATCACAAGAGGTAGGGAGGGGTAAATGCGATAGGCAACAATAAACTCAAAACTGACCGCTGCATCTGAGTATTACATTAATACCTTTTTAAAAGTTCAACGATAATTCTTCTGACGCCGCTTAATTTAAAGGCAGATTGATGTACGTAGGTCCTTACTTTCCATACAAACAATTATTTCTATTTCATGAGTGACTTTCTCTGGATTTCGCAATTAATTTCAATTATTCTCAAATTTATTTCCAAGTTATAAAAATTGTTATCGTACAAAAAAATCGTTGCAAAAAATTTGCCGAAATTAATCGCAGAAATGAAAACTTGGGATTCCCAAATTTCCGGATTATGGGTCAGGATCCAGTCGGGAATGTTTTAATTTGCTCACAAAGTCGGTCATATTTCAAAATGGTGTAGTATTTTGGACTACAGCCTCAAACAGTAAAGTTGAAAAAGTTTGACACAGTGACACACTGACATTCGCATTTATTATATAGAAGAAGTTAAGATTGTTTAGCAGCATGCTTTTATCATTAGTGTCTGTGGACCTTGAAGATCGGAAAATAAGTTGTTACGTTTTCATAGGTGCCATGTAACTGAAAATATACCGCTTTAAGTAGCTTGAAACCAAAAAAAGTCCATGTAAAAACTACTGAGCCAATGAAAGATCTGAATTTCTAAAGTCATGATAATATGTAAATTTTTAAATAGGAATTGTTTTCTCTTATTAATATTAATGTCAGGTACTTTAGAAAATTCATTGAACATTACTTGTAGCTGAACATTAGCTTCATTTTTTGCACTAAAATCATGGCTAATGTTTTTTTTTGCTGAAACAAAGATGAAGGTTGTGACATTGAAGAGGGAAATGACTCAACGAGAGACAGACAGACGGCTGGGATTTTTCAGAAACAGAGTTCAGTCCATCCAGAAGACATTTGCCACGATTGAAACTGTTTTAAGTGCAAAGAAAATCGAAAGGCCACAACAGAGATATCTAATTAAGCACGTATATCCACTAAATATAACGTTTAAATTCATAAGAAATAATGTCAGATTATAAATAAAATAAAATTATTAATATATAAACCCATCTCTTCCCTCCAGCTATGGGTTGAATAACAGGATAGATTAGGTCCTACAGCCTTGGTTGGCAACCAGTCAACGGCAGAAAGAAACGGCAACCTACTGCGGGAAAATCGTCAGCTTAGTGAATCATGAATCGAAAGAGACGTGATCACCCAAGCGTGTATCACGTATGGCACTTAACTGAAAGAGTCAACAGTTATTTAGGTGAAGAAGTTGTGGAGAGACATGATCGCCCAAGTGTGTATCACGTATGGCACTTAACTGAAAGAGTCAACAGGTATTTAGGTAAGGAAGTTGCGGCGAGACATACGTGTATCACGTATGGCGAGTATGTCAAACTGGCGGCCTGCGGGCTGCATGCGACCCTTTACATGCATCTTGGCGGCCCTCACAGAGTTTTTTTATAGCCGTGGTATATCGAGAATTTTGCCGTAATGTTCGTAATGCAAATTATTAAAAACAGTAAAAAAATTTTTTCAATCGGTATGATTAGATTGTTTATTCTATCTGAATGTTTTTTTTTTTTTTTTTTTTTTTTTGTTTTTTGTTTTTTGTTTTTTTTTTTTTTTTGCTTTCAAATGTCAGTAACTATTTTTAACTTCCGGTTAATCATGGGATCATCCTTGACAACTAAGTACAAATGTAAAGTGAAAACGTTCGTAATTTTGTAATATTTTGCCTTAAAAATGTCGAATTCTACTCCAAAATTATCTGAAGAAGGAAGTGTCTTTCAAGAAAAGTGGAAATTACAATACTTTTGTACCACTGTTAATGGAAAGATAAATTGTTTGATTTGCAACCACTGCATTTCGATGCCAAAAGAATATAATGTGAAAAGCCATTATGAAACAAAACATCAATCTTATGATAAATATGAAGGAGATATGCGTATTTCAAAAGTGAACGAATTCAAGGTTAAGTTAACACAGCAAGAGTTGCTTTACAAAAATTCAGAAAGGCAACGTTAGTTCTGTTACTGCAAGCTTTGAACTCTACAAAATGATCGCCATCAGTGGAAAATCTTACAGTGAAGGAGATTTTATAAAGCGATGTCTTGTAAAAACAGCTGAAATTGCATGTCCAGAGAAGTTACATTTATTTCAAGACAATTCATTAAGCAGGAATACTGTTGCTGAACGGATTGATGAAATGGCAGGTGATTTGAGTCGACAGTTGCAGATTTTATCATCAAGTTTTGAACATTTTTCAGCCCGCCGTTTTCATCGGGGCTTGTGACAATGAATTTCAAATTTATGAAGAACTAACTGAACTGGTCCCAATGCATGATGCTACAACAAGCCAGTACATTTTTGAGAAAGTTGAACAGCTTCACCATGAGCATGGCCTTGATTTGAGTAAACTTGTGTGTTTATCTACTGATGGTACTACCAATATGGTTGGGAGACATAATGGTGTTGCTGCCAAGTTAGGTACAATAATAGAAAACATATATTCAATTCCAACATTGAAGCATTTACACTGTATAATTCATTAACAGAACTTATGTTCTAAGATTCTAAAATTAAATCATGTGTTGAGTTTTGTCACAAAACAGTGAACTATATCAGAGGTCGTACCCTGCATCACCATCAGTTTAGACAGTTATTGGAAGATGTGAATAATCAGTTCACAAATGTCCCATTCTACACAGATGTTTGGTGGCTTTCATGTCACAAGGTACTGAAAAAATTTTTTTATTGTGAAACGAAATTGTTTTTGGAGATGAAGGGTCAAAGCACAGAAGAATTGAAAGATGAAAGCTGTCTCCAAGATGTAGCTTTTTCAGTGGATATTACTGCCCAATTAAGTGACCTTAATTTGAAATTACACGGTAAAAATAAGCTCATCACTCAGTTATATGATATCAAGTGTTTCATTGCAAAATTAGCTTTATTGAAGTCGCAGTTGTCACATAAAAACTTGATTCATTTCCTATGTGCAAGGAGTTGAATTGAAAATTGCCAATATTGAGTCTGTATTTATCTTTGCTAAGTAAGACAATTACCTGGAATTGCTGCCAAAGGAATTTCAGCAAAGATTTTTGTGATTTTTCATCTTGTGAAGATCAGTTTGCATTATTCTCAGCACCATTCACTTTTGATGTTGTTCAGGCAAAGGAAAGTTTTCAGATGGAACTACTGGAAATGCAGACTGACTCAATACTCAAGGGAAAGTACCTAGAAGTAGGTGTATCCGGATTTTTTTTCATACCTTCCTCAGACATTTAAGAACTTCAGAATGTTTGCCACAAAAATTATGGCGATGTTTGGTTCCACATATGTTTTCGTTTATGAAGGCCAAAAAATGTTTCCCAGAACCAGATTAACTGATGAACATTTGTCATCTTTGATCAAAGTGGGATCTACACAGACATTCCAACCTGATATATCGAGAATAGTTTGTCTAAAAACAACATAATAATGATTAAATTGTACTAACTTGTATTGTAAGTATTTTGTATTTAAAGTTTAGTTATCACTAGCTGTGATTAATGTGAGACTGTAAGAAGGTGTAGCCCTCAAAAGCTGCAGATATGGCCGATGAGGCCCGCCATATGCCCTGAGTTTGACATGACTAACGTATGGCACTTAACTGAAAGAGTCAACAGGTATTTAGGTGAGGAAGTTGTGGAGAGACATGATCGCCCAAGTGTGTATCACGTATGACAATTAACTGACTGAATTCTTAAGAAATTATTTTGCTTACATTTGGAATAGGAACATAAAGTAAAAAGATATGGGCTTCGAGAGATCTAAACAAGAGATATGCATTCCTTTAACAGGGTAATTGAAACTTGATCAGTGGTGAACGCTTTCCATGACTGAACACACTCGGTTTAAATAACAAGAACACAGTTTGCAATGAAGAAATACATCTGCAATGGTAGTTGCCCAGTTTGTACTGTTAGCATCTCTCAGTTGCGGTCTCTGTCTTCGCGCAGAGTGCAATTCAGTTGTATCTCTGTCTACGGTCAGAGCGCAAGCGAAAAAAATATTGTAAGGTGCACGGTCCCGAGGATCAGCTGCTCGAGGCAGTACCCCGACATTGCACTAAAGAGGGGTATCGGTAGTAATACCGATACCAACATAACCGACAGTTGCTGGGGCTGTGCAATTTTTAGCCCTGGTCACGGTGTACGTCGTCGGGTGCTTCACATGAAACCGACCTTGCGTCACATCATGAGACGAGTAAATACCATAAAGAAATATAGCTGCAACATAGCATCCCTATAAAAATATTATATGAAATTTCTTTAATAAAGAAATTTAAATATTTTATACCGTCTCTATTTATAAAATATAACTACATAATGTTGTTTCCAAAGAAATAAAAGCGAATGGTGTTTGTAATTTGAAAATATAAATGTATTATACTATCTCAGATGA